CCTCGTGTTGTGCATAAATAAGCGGTGTATGATGGGGTGATGAGGTGGGGTAGCACCTTTGGACCCTTTGGAGGTCGCACTTGCATCCCGTCATTTGCTTATCCTTTTGGACCGACTTTCGGCGTTGATTGATGGCAACTTTTGGCGCTTGCCAAAGACCAAGTGGCCTGATGTTTCCGAGCCCAGAATAACTTTATTGCTGTGGCTGGTGCTAAGTTATGACGTGTTAATAATGGCGCATAAACACACCAAATTGTGGGCGTCACCTGGATAAATTTGAATGACGGATGCGATGGCCGAAAGTGAAGTTATTAAGCTTTGTCGGTGGCTATTTTACTGAGTGATGGCAAATGGCGGATTTTACGTTGATTGATTATCTGATTACAATCAGAAGGAGAATGAAATATGCACAACGTTAATATGCAACGTTAAAAATTGGTTAATAAATAATAATGACAATATTTAAGAAAGCATATGTAAATCGGCCAATTTGACAGTTCAAAGTTTATTTGCTTTGTTATATATATTAGCTTAGATACGATTTATTTTTAGCCACATGCTTTTTATAATGAAGGAGATTATATATACATATATATAATAAATTTGTTGTTAATACACTCAACACAGAAGTTATTCGTTGGGGAAAAAGAGCATTAGAGTCCGTGAGTTTACTAATTCAACAATTTATTTTCACCCAAAAAAAAAACCTTGTTCTTAACAATTTGGCACTAATTTAAGCAAGATTAATAATGGGATAAATGCTTTTGTCAAAATGTCAAACCATATTAAAAAATACAAATCTCTCGTTTATTATAAAACCACTCTCTTAAGGCTCCTATGTTTTTAAGATAAGATTTGGCAGATGTTAAATTTCTTATTTTGATAGAAAAATCTAAAACCTACTTATACAAAAAAATTAAAAGATAAACATTTTTTTTTAAGAACTTGGATTAAGGATTAAGCTGACCCTCATTCCATATCAATATTTCCTGGTGCGGGGGGTAATGTTTATTTGACTTGTAGAACTTATTTATGTATAGTTGGAGAAGTGGCTTGCCTATTCTGAATTTCAAACTAGTAAAACCGATTTCCATAATAATTTTTCCATTGTAATTTTTCTTAACCTATGGCAAAGTAAATTCCTCAGTTGAAGCTCACATGGAAAGAATTCCAACTAGCCGGTCGACGCCCACCAGTTCTTCCCCTTTTTGTGAAGATCAGCGATGAGTTTCCCACTGATCGGCAATCACTGGTGAAGCTCTCGTGCCGTTCGAGGCTATCAAAATATTTTAATCGTGGATTTTTGTGGTTGCCGGTTCATTGAGGCTGCCAAGAAGTTGCGAAGATTTATGAACATAATAATTACAAATTTGCTAATTGATTTATTGTCGAGTGTATAAACACCTTTCGCTTAATTTATGCCGCTGCCGTCTGAGCGGGGAAGTTCATGTGTTTCTTTTGTATTTCCTTAAATACCTGTTTGCAGTCAAAGAATGTATGCAGTGGAGGAGCAGAGCAACCTGTGAGCCAAAGCAATCAGGGCGAGCATCGGACATCGAACATTGGTCGCGCTTTTTGGGATGGGATGATGTACGACGAATGTCCTGACACAGTCGTATATATGTACATGCACCCATACCGATGCCCAAACCGTTCATTATAAAGGAGTCAGGTCGTCAGGTGAGCTGGGAGAGAGACCGACAACCGCAGGCAATCACTGGCAACAGGCAACGCAAATTAATTATTAATCAACGGAGTGAACCGAGCCAGCTCTGAAGAAGAAGCAGCTGAAGGAGGTGGAGACTGCCGCCCCTTTCCCGCCCGATCTGCGATCTGCGATCCTCGAGCCGAGAGAGTGATTTATGCTCGCAAACCCCCGCTCCCAGACCTAACGAATCTCAGGCCCTGGCTCAAACAAAACCCAAACCCAAACCCATGCCCAAACCCATGCCCAAAACCCAGGCCCAACTGACAGTGTTCCTGCCAAGATGGACGATGCCGGTGATGACGACGGTGTTGGGGATGAAGACAGAGACCAAGATGAAGACTAAGACGAAGACCAATGCAACCAAGCCTGGTCAACATTCAGCAGAGGATCCCATATAGGGTTAAGCACTCAAGGAAAAATATTGGTATTCGATTTTAAATTGATCGTTCATTGTGTGACGCGTTCATCGGTAGGTTAAATAACAAAATGTTGCCTTTATAAATAGTAAGTTGTTTTGTTTATTAAAAACTGATTTTCCTATATTGCCAAATTTTTCTACTAAATTGATAACTCAGAATTCACAAACCAATTGTTCAAATAGTACTACATTTTAGAGAAGCGCTGCCTCGTTAAATGAAAGACCTAACATAGTTTACTAAAAGACAGAAGTCATATTAACCTAAAGCTGAACAAACATATTTCGCGATATTCTTTATAACTGGTTTTGGTGATAATAAAATATTAAACCAATAATTAAATATAAAAATATTTCCAACACAGTAAAATATATTTGTTGCTAAAACCGAATGGTACATGTGGTTACTTTATCTTTATAGTGAACTCTAATGTATCCGTTACACTTACATGCGTACTAAAATTTTTAGTACTACATTCTTAGTAGTCGGCATATTTTAACTTAAATTTGTATGCCAATTTTTGAAGTAAAACTGGGGTCGATGTGAGAAATCAAACAAATATATAAAATTAAATATTTAAATATTGATGTTTTTGGTGCCTGCTCTAATTAAAAGAAACAAAAATGTAGTTAAGCTTACTGAGCTTGGTAAAATTCTAAATCTAAAATGTTGGAAGCAAATATTATGCTCTTGATTTGTTACGAAAGCTCCTACAAAATTCAAAGGCCAAATGTTCCTTTTCTTCGGCTTGAATTTACGAAAGCATACATATTGCTTTAGCTTTATTATTAAATAGTTTAAAGGCCGAATACGAAGCTGTAAAATAATTTTTTTTTTTAAGCACTGGTACTACTAATATTTTTTGTTGACTTTGAGACCCGCTTCAAGGCTTCGAGAGAGATACATATGTATTGTATAAGTCCGCCGCTCTTTGCAGCCTTTTGCTTCCACCCATATCAGTCAGCCCCCAAGTACGTCAGTCAGTCAGCGAATGCGAGAGAATGAATGTTGTCCTTTTGTCCGTTTGTCCGGGACTCAGTCCGTCCGTCTGTCCAGTGCACATGCAATGGCATCGGCATCGCCTCCTGGGACTCTCGATTCTCGGCGGGACGGAATCGGCATGCGATACCCGAGTGTTGGACGGCGGATTTGGGAGGGCGGTTTGGAGGAGGTTGTAGTGCAGACACCGGGCGAATCAGAAATGCCAGAATTGAAATCGCATTTTAAATCATCTCTCAGTGGAGCTGCTCCTTCCTCGGCCGCTCCGTCCACATGATTCACAGTCACAATCGCCTCAAATCTCGAATAACAAATCGCATAATTACGGGGCAGCGGCTGTCCATTGCCTGCCCTTTCCTCTCGCTCTCGCTCTTCCCGCAGCCATCAGTCTGTCCCGCTCTAGTCTTCTGCCTGGCAGCAAAAAGAAGTCGAAGAAGACTCGAGATGGCGATGCAGTGCAGATATAAAATATTTTAGCTAAATGGCAGCCAAAGAAATAAAAATGTGGGATTGAAGCGTATAAATCAGCGGGCACTCGCACCCTTTCTCTCTTGAGCCTTCGCCCCTTCTCTTTCGCTCCTCGGGAGGCTTCATTAATATGTGGATGGGCGAGTGTGTGTGTGTGGTGTGTATGTGAAGCATAAAATCAACCTGAGGCGATAAATTGAAACTATTTTTGCACTGAACACGCAATTAGTTCTCCTCCAGTGTCCGTCTTTGCCCCCTTCCCGCCATAAACTCACCTCTGGAGATTGAAAGAAGAATCTGAAATAAAAATGATTCCAATGACATCTGAGAAATTGTTTTGATTTCGCTGTACAAAATGAGTGGTTCTGATTCAAACCGATGGCAGGAAATGTGTGGAATCTTATCGAGATTACGCCCCTGGGATCGTGTCCATAAATAGTTGGGTACGTAGATTGAAATTATGTCAGATTAATTTCCCAATAATTACAGATTTACAAAAACCAGTTTCGATTCCGCACTCGGCGACAAAATATATGCTAATAAAATTGCAAGTTATCAATAAAGAATAGTTTTCAAGATGACATACATATTTGTTAAGACTCCTTTAGTGAGCTAAATAAAAATCTTAATTCAATTTAAATAAAAGGGTTTTATTCTTTATAATTACAGAAGTTTTTTGTAAGAAAAAACAACAAGTATTCATTCAATTTAAAAATTATAAATTATATAATAAAACTTGTTTTTTTTTTGCACGTTAAGAAGGTCAAAAATAAAATATAGGTTTTGTTGAACGGTTGAAAAATTTGTCTATTTTTTTACCCTTGCAGAGGTAATTATTCTTGCAGTCACTAGTCCCTCAGTTTTAAAGCTATAGCTTTATAAATCTGCTTGAAACTTTCCCAAATGTTGTCTTTCTTTTGGAGGTAGTATATAAGTCGGAATCCCCGGATGGGGCGACTATATCATATAGCTCCCATAAGAATAATCGGAAAAAAATTTTTAAAAAATTGAATTTTGTTGCGATTTATTAATATTTAAATACCATGGAATTACGGAATTTACATTAAAATCGGGCATCTATTACATATATTGAAAAAATAAAAAATTGTAATTTTGCTGTTTTTGTATTTATCAAAATATTTCTTTGAGATATAGTAATTATTTAGTAAATCAGAATTACGCTTTTAGTTTTGTCAAAATCGGACAACAATATCAAATAGCTGCCATAGAAAAGATGGCAAAAGGCAGCGCAAATTCGACTTAGCTTCATTACCTTAAAGATTTTCTCTCAACCAAACTCGTCCGAAATGTGTAAAATAACTCAAGAAACGCTCAAATAGTCGAACTGTCTCATTTGAACAAACGACTTCGAATTTCGAAACTGTGTGAGAGAAGCATCGTGTCGTGTTGCCGTATGGTTGCTGGTGAAAAGTGCGCTGTGAATTAAAAAGTATTATTTAATGTTTGCTTGTTTATCCTAATATAAATAATAAAGAGTGTTGAGAAGTGCGCAGGCTAGACGTTACCTAGAAAAAAATCGTACTTTGGGACCTGCCTTGTAATTTGCAATAAACGCCTATTGTACAAGTAAGCAAATAAAAACATCTTTACCTCTAACTTATGTTATCACCACATGTTAAATACCAATGCAGTCACAATAATGGTTAGTTTGATAACTAAATGGTTGCGTTTAGTTTTTAAATTAAAGGAGATTTTGTAGTCTGCTGGCACGCCGATGGAAAACAGCTGTTTTGATTGTTGTTACGGACAGAAGCGTAGGCCTGAAAGGGGGTCGAAAAAATTTTATTTGATGTCGATTTGCCCGCCCAACTAAAGTATGGAGCAAACGGTAAATTATGTATATATTGTAAAAAAATATTTAAACGGCAAATTTTGTATATATTGTAAAAATAATATTTATAAGGTAAATTATGTAAATACTGTAAAAAAAATATTTAAAACGTAAATTATGTATATATTGTAAAAAAATATTTCTAGGTTAAATAATGTATATATTGTACAAAAAATAATTAAACGGTAAATTATGTATATAATGTAAAAAAAATATTAGTTATGATAATAGCCACCCAAAGTCGAAAGCCTCCATCCACACGCCACTGTCCTCAGCGTGTTTTCGAAAATCGAAAACTGAAGAGAGCGCAAGAGAGCCCAGACCGGTTTACTCTCTGGAACGGTTGAGTGATTTCGAAAGCTGGTTAGACAAATTCGAATCTATTGAGTCAATGAATTCACGACCGTTAAAGATTTTAAATGCTGTTAGTTATATCTTGAGATCAATTCGATTTTTCCAAAGTTTAGGTTGTGTTAAGAACTATGTATTTATACATGTTAAGGCTGGACTTATTTGTATGAGCAAAACTAACTGTCGCATCTAAGGTGTTGGATCTAATATTTATATTCCTTTTAATTTTGAAAATCAACCTTTCATTAATAACAATAAATTCATGTGTGCAGAAAACTTGTTTTTTAAAATTTTAATTTAAGTTAAAACTAGAACAAAAGCTTACTTAGACAAGCTTAAATCTTAATGCCAAGTTTAGCTAGTTTTACCAGATCGCTCCTACGGCAGCTATAAGATGTTTTAACATGATCAGTGTACACATAAAAAACAACGATTTGCCAAGTTTTATGATGATTAGTTTAGAGGGTCGGAGACGTACATAGTTGACACGATAAACACTTTTTACATCAACACGATGGTTTACAATTTGTAAACGATAAATGAAATGGTAGTTTTTAAATTAATAAAAGAAATACATTTTTTTTTAAATTATTTTCGATCTTAAATTAAAAACAATTCGTAGTAGTTGATAGAAGTTAAAATCGTACTAATTGCAATAATTTAATAGTTCAGATGCACAAAAATACCTGATTTTCTTTGAGTGCACACATTAATTTATACCCTTGCAGAGGGTATTATAATTTTGGTCAAAAGTGTGCCACGCAGTGAAGGTGACATCTCCAACCCTATAAAGTATATATATTCTTGATCAGGATCGCGTCCTGAGTTGATATAAGCATGTCCGTCTATCCGTCTGTCTGTTTTTACGCGAACTAATCTCTCAGTTTTAAAGATATCGAATTGAAACTTTGCACTCACCCTTCGTTTCTTTGCACGCAGTATAAAAGCCGGAACGGCCGGGATCGGCCAATCAATCCGACCTACCAAATTTCATAAGGATCGGCCGACTATATCCTATAGCTGCCATATGCTATAACTTTGATGTTTTTAGTTATCCTGACACAGGGTTTACTTTTAGGATAGACCAAGCGCACTACAATACCACTTAAGTATTTGTAAAATTATCTTGGCTAGCGATCACATTTAATTACATAAATTAAAATCATAACCATTCAGTACTAATTATCTGAGAAAAAGTCGCTTCAAACAAAGAGTGGTTTAATGTGCCAAATTTATTATATTTTATTTATTTTGAATACCCATTTCTTGGTAATTTTGAATGCTCTACAAATCGACAAATTTGCTCTTTAAATCTCTCCCGAATCGGTGGTGGTGTCGGTAGAGTTATCAGTGGAACGATCACCACACTGTGATACCCTTAGTCGGGATATCAGTGCACCCATCATCACCTTTACCATCGCCATGACCACCAAGATCGCCGTCACCGCCTACGACATGGTCAATTAATTCTTCAACTTCGGTAACGACATAAGTCAATAAACCATCATCGCATCCTCCAAGTCCTCCAAGTCCTCCAAGTCCTCCGGCACCTCCTTGGACTGCGACCACTGCCACAAGGGCCAGAAGGGTAATTGCAATGTAGGTACGCATTCTCAGACTTTGGCTCCAATCGAAACTGATGTCGATTCTGTCTACGCCAAGCCCCTTTTATACCCAAAACCTCAAAACATCACAAAAATGCAGCCAAATCCCACCCGAGCATCCCCTTAACGTCAGCTTCATCTGTGTGCTTAGCTGGAATCTGCGAAGAATGGAGAATCGCTAGATTGGGGGTTGTCGAACTCAACCCGAATTATTCGCCTCTAATTATTTGTTACATGTTGTTTTCATCCATCGTTTGGCAACAGCTGGCCCATGTTTGAATTAAATCTATTGTGTCTATTTTCATCTTAAATGTTTGAGTTTGAAATGACTGTGAGACTAAAGGGTTGATTTGCTGACATTTGCGTCTATTTTGTAAATAAATAATAATTTACCTTTATGAAAAAACAAGAAAAAAAGTTTCCTAAATTTTTTAAATATCTAGATTGTACTGCTATTTTCCTGAAATAAACTGGCAGTAAAACAGAACATTTATTATATATTTTTTTAACGTTCTTAAAATTTAGCAGAAACAAAACTACCAATGAATATGGAACTAATTAGTGGGAATACAAAGCTTTATACCCTTTGTAGCATGAAACCTGCAACAAGGTTGCCGGTTCTTGCAACATTAGCTAATGTTGTGTGTATTCAAGGGCGTTCTGGGGTTCTATGAGTCCTTGAGCTACTTGCCCGCAAATACTTTTAAATCTTAAAAAAAATCACACCCGGATCTTAACATCGATCGGGGGAGTCGTAAAATTACACGGGAAAGGTACCTTTTCATAATACCCTATGGGAGATGTCACTCCAGGGTTTCCAGTTTATTTATGCTGGGCTGGTGTTATAGCAACATCAATTCCATCCAACCATTGTCACCGAATTCCGAAATGTATGGTAATTGGTGATCCCATTTACAACCGGCAAAGCTTCTTCATCCTCCCTTTACAGAATGACGCATGACTCCCAAATATGAAAAGCTAGAGATTCATTTCTATTTAATAATTTTCATTTGATTTGCAAATTCCAATTGCCCAAAACATATTATAAAAGCTACTCAGAAAAATGTAATTTAATGATATATAATATATAATAATTATAATATATAATATAATAATATATATTTTATTTTAATTTAAGTGTCCGTATTGTTTGTTTTATATATGTATAGTATAGTATAGTATATTATAGTATAACGTAATTAATTATTAAACGTTTAAAAAAAGAAATCAATACAAAATATAACTTTAAATAATAATCGGGATTTAATAACTGCAAAGTATAATTTAAGTACAATTTTACCCGAATTATTTAATTTTCTCTTTTTTTCCATATCAGTATTTGCTTAGTTTCTTATATTTATTTGTTTATTATACCCTTGTAGAGGGTATGATAATTTCAGTCAAAAGTTTGCAACGCAGTGAAGGAGACATTTTTTTTTTTTTTTGTTCTTTCGGACGTTGATTCAGTAGAAATAATGTGGTATAGTCTATTATAGTCATTACACAGTACTCTAAACGGTTCATGCATATCAAAGTTAGATCTACAAATATTTAATGTAAGAGGAACATAGTTCCTGGTAATTCTATTAGGCACGGAGAAGCTTATGCGACCCAGTAACTTGGGACTCTCCACATCCCCGTGAATAAGTTTATAGATAAAAGTTGTGCCAAGCATCGTTCTACGGTTTACTAAGGATGGTAGATTAATTAGGAGAAGTCTTCTAGAGTAGGATGGTAAAATAAGGCTTGCATTCCAGTTAAGGTACCGTAGAGCAAATAATAAAAAGTTCTTTTGCACAGACTCTATCCGGTCTATATGTACACTATACTGAGGACTCCAAGCTGCAGAACAGTACTCCAGGATTGGACGGACTAGTGAAATGAACAGAGTCTTTGTAACATAGGGATCATCGAATTAATTTGACCACCTTTTAATAAATCCAAGTACTCCCCTGGCTTTATTCACCATAGAAGTAATATGGTCACAAAACATAAGTTTTGGGTCAAGGAGGACGCCAAGGTCATCAACATGCTTAATTCTAGACAACGCGCAACCACCCAGCGTATATGTTGCATATTGTGGGTTCACCCGAAAAAATGACATTACTTTGCACTTAGCGCTATTTAAATCCAAAAGATTTTCACAACACCTTGTTTGAAAAGCATTTAGGTCAGATTGTAAGTCTGAACTGCTAGAAATTTCATTATATTGCAGGCATAACTTAACGTCATCTGCGTACATAAGGACACGCGACTTTGTCAAGACTAGAGGGAGATCGTTTATAAATAAAGTAAAAAGAAGTGGGCCAAGGTGGCTTTCTTGTGGGACGCCTGAAGTAACTCGGATCAAATCAGAGATCGAGTTTTGAAGAGGACTCGTTGAGTCCTACCACTCAGATAACTTGAGATTCATTTTAGAAGATCACATGGAAACCCTAATAAGTCTAGCTTTAATACAAGAAGCGAGTGATTTACTGAATCAAACGCTTTACTAAAATCAGTGTAAACTACGTCAGTCTGCATGTTCTTTCTAAAGCCATTTATTACAAAAGACGTAAGCTCCAAGAGGTTTGTCGTCGTAGATCTTCGCCTTATAAATCCATGTTGACATGGAGATATAATCGATCTACAAAGATTTTGCAAATGGGGTGTAATAGTGTTTTCGAAAAGCTTTGGGATGGCGGATAATTTGGATATGCCTCTGTAATTACTTGTATTGCATTTATTTCCTTTCTTATGAAGGGGAATGACTAATGACTCCTTCCAAATAAGTGGGAAAT